GTGACTGCTGCATAGCACAAAGACCTGAGTTCAGATCCCAGCATCTACATCAAAGCTGGGTGCAGTGGCACACGTGTATAACCACAGCAAGAGGAGGGGAGGCCAACAGCTCGAGCCAAATAAGTGTGTCTCTGTTCAGTGAGAATCTCTGTTTCAAAAACAAGACAGAGACTGAGGAAGGCATCTGATGTTGGCCTTTGCCTCCAGACACATACACACACATGTGCATATACCCACATGAACATGTACATACATCACACACACACACACACACACACACACACACATACACACACACACAGAGTGGAAAAAAATAATAAAATTAAAGACAGGCATATGTGGCAAGGGGTCATTCACACACTGAACACATAATGGTTTTAAAATGGAAATTCAGGCTGGGCAGTGGTGGTGCACGCCTTTAATCCCAGCACTCGGGAGGCAGAGGCAGGCGGATCTCTATGAGTTCGAGGCCAGCCTGGGTGACAGAGTAAGTTCCAGGAAAGGCGCAAAGCTACACAGAGAAACCCTGTCTCGAAAAACCAAGAAAAAGAAAAAGAAAAAAAGAGAGAGAAAATGGAAATTCATATTTGACCTTTGGGGACATTTGTTAAGCCCCAACTTGTTTAGTATAAATTCAAAACTAATTGCAAAATGCCAGGTTCATAAATTCAGATAAGACATGCTCAGATCAGGGCAGGACACACTGGCCATGCTCCTGGATTGAGATCAGTTCACTTTTCTGCCCTTTGAGTCTCTTCTCCCTTGCCAAGCAAAGCCTCTGGAGAAAAATGAACGCAGCAAATTAAGTGAACACTAGACCTGGACAGGCCAGGGCTGCTGAGGCACTGGCTAGGTAGAACACACCTGTGCCTTTGCAGTGTGCTTTCTATCTAAAAAGCCCAGCTTTAAAATGATCCTTTATAAATATAATATTATTATAATAATGCAGCATAATGCTAGAAACATTTTGAGTACAATTGTTTCTCCTATGTAAATAAACTAACTAGAGCACTTGCTTTGTGTCTGTGTGGGTATGCGTGTGTGTACAGGCAGACTTTGACAGCAGCGTCTTTTTCAGTCACTCTGCCCTTTGTTTTTTGAGACACAGTCTCTCAACTGAATCTCAAGCTCACTAGTCGGATAAACTGGCTGGCCTGGCGAGCCCCAGAGACCCTCTGTCTCCAGCTCCCCAGCACTGGAACTACAGGCCTACATCACCCTGCCCAGGCTTTTACATAGGTCCTGAGGAGCCAGCTCAGGTCCTCATGCCTGGCGAGCAAGCACTTTCGCCTCTGGGCCGTCTCCTCAGCCCCTCTGCTTTCCTTAGTAATAACACAAGCACTGGTAGAACTCCACGATTCAAACGTGATCGAAGCGAAAGCTGAAGATGAACATCCTGGGGGCACAAAGGCATATTTCAGAATTAATACATTGTTTAAATATTACAAAATTATAACTTAAATTTTTAAAGGAACAACCATTGCAACACTTACCTTAGCCTGTACACAAATTGCACTTTGAATGGCAAGATTAAAAGCAATTTCCTCTTCATAGTAAATAAAGAAACATTTCTTTGCTACAGTCATTATATTAATGTTCATGTCAGACACTGGTATCCAGTCTCTACAAAGTCAGGCCACAGGTTGAGGAACCCAGAGGTAGAGACCCTCTTGTGGCCCGTGAGAACCATAGATCCACAGAACAAGGATCCCTGTGCAAGCATCTAATTCCTTTCTAATGCTGTCATCCAAAGCTCTAGCTGACAATGCCAATGGCAGGATGTCGGGCGGAGCTTAGTGGTGGAGCACTTGTATAACAACTGCAAGACCCCGGGTTCAACTCCCAGCAGCACACAGACACAAATGCGCACATGCACACAATGGACGCAGATGACTCTTTTGTTAAAATCATTTGCTAAACAAAAACGCCACGTATGATGCAGCCTTGGTTAAATTTGTTAAGGCAGTGAACGCTGTACTATAGCAGTGGGGCAATCACAGCAGAACTATGGGCTACAAAGAGCACTCCTCTCTCCCTCCTTCCACCTTCCCTTTTTTATTCAGCACAAGGGAAGCGTTCTCATTAACAGGTATGTATTGAACCAAGTGCCAAGTACTTTTACTGCTAAGTCCTTTAGAACAAGAGAAAACGGGTCTTAGAACTTGAATAAGACAAAATGAACTACACCCATTTTAAAGTAAAAGACCTGCTGTGTTTTGGGATGCTTGGGATGAGGCAGTACCCATTGACTTCCTTAAGAATTTAGGCTGCCTGGTGAGCAAATGTGGGGCAGCAGATGACCGTCCAGTAAAGTGCAGGGCAACAGTAGAGAAAAGGAGAGAAATCACCCTACTGGGGTATTATTTCCTTCAATAAACAGAACTAGCTCTCCCAGGGGCCCCACATGCATACGCTTTAACAACAACTATAGCTTGTTTGAAATAGAATGTAGGAATATTCATCTGCATGTGCTTTCAGTCCAGAGCACTGACTAGTTTCAAGAGAACTGAATTTGTGACAGTCTGATATTAGAATGCCAGCAGATGCTTGGCATTCAAAATGCCTGGTTTTCAGAACTATCATCTCAAGAACTGATCTGTCTCCTGGCCCCTACTCCTCAGTCCTTGCTCTGTCCAAAAATAGAAAGTGGCCTGTTTGGGTTTTGTCTAAGAAAATATGATATGAAAATAGTTAATAGTATTGGTATGAAGCATATTTCCAAATTCAAAATAAGGAAACTATGTTCTAACAAGGGCATTTTGAAAGAGTAATGTGAAATGCTCAAAATGGAAACAAAACGTTTGAAGTCAGGAGTGACCTGTAAATTCTAGAATATGTGGTTAATCTTTATGTGTACATTTCTTTGTTCTTGGAAAATTGTTTTATTTTGTTATTTGTTATCTTGTTCTAATTACTCAGCATCCAGCTAAATCAAATGCGTATGAATTCTGATAGCTACCACCACTTACCAAATTCAACCACATGTTTTTAAAATGTTGGTAGAAATTATTTGGTGTGGGACGCTACAAAAGCAGACTCTCACCACCAGTGCCACTAAACTGGAAAGATCATTTTTAGGCATTTAGAATCTACCAGTAACCGGGAGCTGGGGTCGCTTCTGCTCTCCTGCACTAAGGTCTTACCTTAATGCACCCCCTTATTGTGCAGCACGCCCCACCCCCTCTGCAGCACCTTCCCGGGAAGTACAGAAAATGTACACCAGAAAAATGGATTTTACTGGAACATTCAGAGCACTGGGCAGAAATGACATGGTATCAACACCTCCTGTAGGCCTTCCCCAGGCTCCAGAGAAATCAATTGTAAAGACTAGCTTAAAACTGACTTTTTCAAATAAAATATCACACACTGTTCTACATAATCCAGGAAAAGCTTTGTTTAAATAAAGTTATATTTCATTTTTTGAATTTCTTCATATGTTTAGTAGGGAGACACACTAAGAATCAAAAACTCCCAACCCAGAAATCCTCTCCACAGAAGTAGTGTGGAAGATAGCACTTTTCTTACTGAATAAACATTACAACAGAATATGATACAAATCACAGGCAAAGACACAAATGACAAAGTCAGAAAGCAGTTGCACCCTCGTCTACATTTGGACCTGGTGGACCCTGCCCATGGTGCTCATGTTTTCATAGTAAGAACAGCTAGTCCTCAAGTAGGAGGGCCTCACAGTGCATTTTTGGGGGGGTGTTTGTTTTTTGAGACAGGGTTTCTCAGTGTAGCACTGGCTGTCCTGGAACTAACTTTGTAGACCAGGGTGGCCTCGAACTCACAGAGATCCACCTGCCTCTGCCTCCCAAGTGCTGGGATTAAAGTGCCACCACTGCCTGGCCACAGTGCATTTTTTAATCACATAATTTCACCTGTTAGTAGGGTGACTATGTGGTTTAGCTCAGGGTCTTTTTTTTTTTTTTTGGTTTTTTGAGACAGGGTTTCTCTGTGTAGCTTTGCGCCTTTCCTGGAGCTCACAGAGATCCACCTGGCTCTGCCTCCCGAGTGCTGGGATTAAAGGCGTGCGCCACCACCGCCCGGCCAGCTCAGGGTCTTTATGCAAACAATGCTATTCCTCCTTATTTATGACAGGAAGTAGTCTGTAACTAGAAGCAAAGTCCCGGCAAAGTCAGTTTCCTGTCCTCACACTAGCATCACGATGAAAAGTACTATCCCTTGATAGGCCCTGTCCAGTCTTCAGAAGGACTTCAAGACAGTTCAAGGAGGAAGAAAGCCCTTGGAGTTGCACATGTACTGGAGAGCAGCTGTGACAGAGAGGGCTGAGCCCCTGACAGAAATCTGTGGCCGCCCTTACGGCACATGGGGTACACGTGTACACTCCCCTTGCTCACTGGCTAACACTCTGTTTCTAGCTGCCTTTTTAGGGCTCACAAATCTAGAAGAGCTTGACTTATCAAACAACAGCCTACAGAACTTTGACTACGGAGTGTTAGAAGATTTATACTTTCTGAAACTCCTGTGGCTCAGAGATAACCCTTGGAGATGTGACTACAGTATCCACTACCTCTACTACTGGTTAAAGCATCACTACAATGTCCATTATAATGGTCTGGAGTGCAAAACACCGGAAGAATACAAAGGGTGGTCCGTGGGGAAATACGTTCGGAGTTACTATGAAGAATGCCCCAAAGACAAGCTGCCAGTGTACCCTGAGACTTTCGACCAGGACACAGAGGATGATGAATGGGAAAAAATACACAGAGATCACACAGCAAAGAAGCACAGAGTGAGAATCACCATAGTGGGATAGTTGGGACTAGCCGCACAGTGCTATGCTGGTGTTGGAAAACCGTATGTTTACATTTTGATCAATTGTGATGCCTATTTATACAGGGTTACCCAGCTACAAAAGCTTCTTTTGATTAGTTCCTAATTGTTACTATGTTGTGGTAATTTTAGTTATCTAGGGAAATCTGTATTCTGCTTATATGCCCCTCTGTGGGCAGACTCTGATTACAGGATTCCACATTGGCCAGGACTGGTAATTACATGCCTGTAATTCCAACCCTCAAGCTGAGGCAGGAGGATGATGATGCCCACCTGTGCTACATCACCAGAAACACTCTCAAAATAACCAAACTATTCCACACTGGTGACCTGAGGGACTTAGATCTTAATATGGTATTAGAATTTCATAGTGTCTTGCATATGTTTTTAATGGCTTTTTGAAATAAAAGTTAAGAAAAAAAACAAGTTTCATTTTTACATGTCTTTCTGTAACTCCTTATACAATCTGAAAAGTGATCAAAAGGAAAAGTCACAATGAACTGTCTCCCCCAAATCCTATCAACCCTCTGCTGTTATTAATGCTTAAGACAATATAACTGTCAAGTAGATTTGCATTTTGGATTCCCATATGCTCTAGAGTAAGGTGCTGGCAAACCCAGCTCTCAATCATTTCTCATTGATTAAATAAAACTGCCACAATAAGCAACAGAGAATATGAGACTTCTAGTATGAGTGATTGTTCAGAACAGCTCTGAGAAGCCTGGGTAGATGGTGAGAGTCATGAGCCCTGAAGACCTAGATCCACCAGTGAATGTGGAAACAACACTGCTCATTTGTCCTCATCCATGTCTGGCAGCCACTTGTCTGTCACCCAAATACTTCCTCCTAAGGTAACAGAGCAAGGACCATAAAATTAGGATTTAGGGTCAAAATCTGGAGTGAAAAAGAGAGCAAAAAATATACTATCAGTGACAATTGAATGGAGGATGGGTAGTCAAGAGATCCCTGCAGTCTGGGCCTTTAGTTAAAATTAGATCACCTAGAAAACAGCCAGTAAAAGAGGCTGTCGGCAGAGAAAATAAATCTGACTTCATCAAATGGCACACCAGTGACCAGTGATACTCCACACACCAGGCAAACCACACCAAGGATGTGCATGGACCCTGAGTGAATTTCCTCCCACACAGAACATAGTTTCATTTCTCTTTCAAGACAATGGGTACAAAGTTTAGCAAGTGGTCATTCTTAATTCTTACACAAACTGCACAAGCATGAAAGATGGCATACGATAAATAGTTCTGAGTACTGTACAAAGTGCCAATAGATTCTGAGCACTGCACTAAAAGTTTCTCATATTCTTCTTGTAATGATCCCCCTGAGGACCATAATGTTATCTGCCCTTCAAAGATGAGAAATCCACAGCTCAGGGGGGTCGGGTAACTTGGACAAAACCATACAGCTGGCAGGAGGCAGAGCTATGCAAACTCTTTCTATTGTGCAAGGAAATATGGCCCTTGCCCTTGACTACCCGCATCAGAATTTCCAGAACCAGATCCTGCCCCCGCCCCCCAAAAAATAGCAGATGTGAGGGAAATTAAGCCTTCACTTCCAGCAACACCAATGAGAGTAGCTGGCAAGAGAGACATTTGAATCTATATTAATATGCATAGGAAAGCAAGATTTGGAAAGCCAGAGTAGCTACCAGTGGTGCTGGTTTGGTTTGGGGAATCTGTGTGGCTGTGAGGGTCTGAACACCTTACCAAATTTACCAGTGGTTTGGTTATAGGAAATGCAAATCCCACATTACACACTAGGAGTCATCAAAGACATCTGTTAGCTTTACAACATTGCCCAAGAGATTCAATGGATTTATTCATTGTTGTCCATGGGCCTCCAGGTAGAGCAGTAAGGATGAGGACCCCAAGTAGTCAAGATCTGGTGTTAGAGAATCCAGGTGTTACCTCACTGGCTGGCAGGAGGATTGAAAGGAGGGGAACAGATTGAGTATGATTCAGAAAAGGGTCCAAATTGTTCCCTGCTTCGATTTTTAGAGGCTAGTAGGGGATTTTATTGGTTGACTTTCATAGCCAACATCATCCCTCGGGATGTATTTGGAAATAGGGTCTGGAACACATTATAATAGAAATTAGTCTCAAACATCTCAAAGCTAAGTGAGTTGGAATGTTGGTATTGCTCAAAGCCTTAACTGAAGTTATATTTTTGAAAGCATAAGGTTTGCTCATTTCCAAGTCAGAGCTTCAAGGAACCACAGTCAATTCTTATACTACCAAGTTCTTACTTAACAGTTACCCCATAGACTGACTTTGGATGTTCCTTTATGTTCAGGATATATATATATACTCAAGGTTACAAGAATTAAAACTGGTTTTATTAAATCGTTGGTGACAAATTAAAAATATCACAATAATTGAGACAGGTTGCTTCCTTAAAAATAATATAAAGATTTGGTCAGATCTGCCTATTTAATTATTGCTACAATAAAGATATTTGGGCCAAGAATTACTATATTTTAAAAATATACACAAACATCTCTTAAATTAAGAAAATGTGCTTGGGCGATCTTGATCCCAACACAGGCATCAGCTTCATATATTCTAGTCATCATTTGATATAATGAACACAGTCAATACACCCACTGCAGAGGAGAGAATTTGGCCCAAGAATTTTTATTATCTGAAGATCTCTGGACTCTACATAATCATGTTAACAATGTAGCTTATTTTCTCTCCATCCCAAACTGCTCAGTGGGCCTGTCCTAAACACCAGAAAGCCTTTACATGGAAGTAAGTTTCAAAAATCAAGAGAGGATTATAGCTGTGTCTGTGTTTAAAAAGAAGAAAGATAAATAGAAGGAAAGGCCAGTCACACCATGGGATAGTGTATTTACATGACACATTAGAAAATGAACCATCATCTGAAACATCCAATAAGGAAACAAGCTGATTTTAAAACGGGCCCAAAACCTTAACAGAGCTAGATGTGGTGGTATATGCCTGTAATTCCAGTACGCAAGAGGCAGAGACAAGAGGATCACCAAAAGATCAAGGCCAACCTAGCAAGATCCAGTCTCCAAAAGTCAACAAATAAACACAACACCTTAATAGACACCTCACCAAAAAGATGCAAATGTAAGCATACAGAAAGAGCCTAAGCCATCAAGGAAACTGAGAACCGCAGTGGGATGCCATCGCACACCTACGAGAATGACCAAACTCCAGGACAGTGATGGCACCCTTGTTCACGGTCATGGGAATGCAAAGGAGTGTTGACACCCTGGGAAACAGTTCAGTGATTTCTTACCAAGTTAAATATACTCTCACTATACAATTACCAATTATACTTCTTAGTACCTAACCAAAAGAGTTGAAAACTTTTAGTTTGGCTCTTCAATATTTCTGAAAGGCCAATTATAAAGGTCTGATTTCCAGCCCGTGGCACCCCTGGGAGGTGGGAGAACCTCCAGCCAAACCCAGACACCATGAGTGAAAATAAGCATTTTCTTCTTTTAATTTATTCACCTCATGAATTTTGTACCGGCAACAGAAAACTAACGTGATTTATGTCTACAACAATAGCTAAGCACCTCATGTGCATGTACACAGCTGTAACCCAGGGTGAAGCTTGAATACATTATGCTAATGAGCTAGTCACCAGACTCTAACTATTCTGTTATTACACTCACATGGAGTACCGAGTCAGCACATCCACAGAAACAGAAAGCAGGGTGGTAGTCAGGAGCTGGGGGAAGGAGGAGTGGAGAGTCGGGGGTTACTGGGTGATGAGATCCAGCTTTCTCTCACAGAACAGTTCTAGGGACAGGTGGTCATGGCTGCACAATGTGAGGATACTTCATTCCACAGAACTGATACATATAGGGGTTAAATTGGTAATTTATATGTTATGTGTATCTTTAAAACCCAAAAATTGGTTGCTTGAAACAACAAAATTAACAACATATAAACTAGCCTTACCAAGAAAAAACACAAACAAGAAAATAGTATTGCTAAAAACGAGACATGAAAGAGAACGTGTTAGTGCCAACTTTATAGAAATAAAAAGGATTTTAAGATAATACTATCAACAGTTATACCCCAATTACAGGAAATGCTATCAACAGTTATACCCCAACTACAGGAAGTGCTATCAACAGTTATAACCCAACTACAGGAAGTTGACAAAATTTCAGACATTTAAACTATCAAAACTGACTCAAGAAATAAAGTCTAAATAGGTCTATAGTAACCAAAGACTGGCAATAATAACAAGGAGCCTCCAACAAAGAAGAGCCCAGGACCAAATGGATTCATTGGCAGGTTCTACCAGACATTTAAAGGATAAGTGACACTAACCCTTCTCATAGTCTTTAAGGAGAGAGAGAGAATTCCTCCTGAACTCATTCTTTAACACCAGTATTATCCAAACAAGGACACCAAATAGATATCACAAGAAAGAAAGCAAAAGACTAATATTCCTCTAAAAATGTACATGCAAACACCCTTTAGAAAATGTTAGAAAATAAAATACAACAGTATATTAAAAGGAAAATACATGATGTGGGAATAAGATTGGTCCTAGAAAAGCAGCTGTGGGGAAGAGGGGACATGAGCATAGAAGCAGATTGACTAGGAAGAGGAAGGGGATCACTGGGCAAGAGGTGATGGGGGTAACTATGATCAAAGTAGATTATATGCATATATAAAATGCTATTGTGAGGCCCATTACTATGTGTAATTGGCATGTGCTAATAAAAACAATAAACACTAAAATCTGTAGCAGTGACACCCCACTTTGTTGCAACCAGCCTACCTGATTTCTCTACTAACGTGCTTCGATTTATGACTTTCTTTTGTTCAATGATTATAAAATTTCAGGTAACCAATTCCAGGGAACATGTTATTTGGGGCAACTCATACCTGTGTTCCTGGTCCACAGTCATTCTTATTTGAATAAAAATAAACTAGCTCTTATTTCCTTTGAGGTGGGAAAAAAGGAAATGCAAAGTAGTTCGGTGTACAAACAGCACTCGGTGTGATCTGTGCTGAGTTAACAGAGCGGAGGTGGACAGCAAGTGACAGAGGTGACGCCTTTGATAAACCCAGCACACTCACGGGAAAACTGGTCAAGAACATCAGGGGCACGCCACAGATAATGATCTTACTTATTAGGAAAGTCTGAAACTTTCCTCTGAGACCAGAACAAAACAAAATGTGAGCTTCTAGAGCTTTATCCTCACATTCCTCGGAAACTCATTACAGTGTTCACTATCGTTGTCATCAAAATCGAAAGTCAAACTGAAACTTTAAATATTACTCCCTGATTTTGCCTTCTTTATTCAAAAATTACAGATTTCATAAACAGTATATTTCAATGTGTATTTCTTTCTTTCATTCTTTCTTTCCTTTTTTTCTTTCATTCATTCATTCTTTCTTTCTTTTTTTGGAGGGGGGAGGTTTTCAAGTCAGGGTTTCTCTGTGTAGCTCTGACAGTCCCAGAACTAGCTCTGTAGACCAGGCTGGCCATGAACTCACAGAAATCCACCTGCCTCTGCCTCCCAAGTGCTAGGATTAAAGGCGTGTGCCACCAACACCCAGTTCAATATATATATTTCTTATATGTGTATGTATAGAGATATATGTGGAGGGATAT